GTCCCAAATGTTATTCAAAGCCAAACCTTCATTTCTCTTATCTGCATACATGCTGCTGGAACATGGTGTGATCAGGGTGGTCATATGTAAATACCATAGCAGAGCTGAGGAGGGAAGAGGATGCAGGATGAAGGAGAGTCACAGCATGCCTACCTCCGATAAGCAGATCATGCGGGTGTCCCTGGTCCTCAGCCACATAACAAAGAGGGGCTCTCAAGGGTGGGAGGTCAACCTGTCTTCTCTCTGCCCTCTAGATTTTTTTGAGACAGGTTCTTGCTCTGTTGCCCATGCAGGAGTACAGTGGCACAATCATAGCTCACTCTAGCCTTGAAATCCTGGGCTCAAGCAGTCCTCCCACCTCATCCTCCTGAGTAGCTGGAACTATAGGTACCTGCCACAATGCCAGGCTAATTTTTAAAATTTTTATTTCTGTGGAGATGGGGTCTCACTCTGTTGCCCAGGCTGGTCTCAAACTCCTGGCTTCAAGTGATCTGCCTGCCTCTGCTTCCCAAAGCAGAGGATTACAGACATGAGCCACTGTGCCCTGCTCTGTCCTCTACCTTTATTTCCCAAAACATACTCAAAAAATATTCTATTTCCTCTGGGCTAGTCTGTTCCCTAAAGCATAAGGTAATGAGGTAAGAAGAGGCTTGTGTCTGTGCCCACGCAGCCTTGGTAACTCTTTGATCCAGGAATGGAATCACAGAAGGAATGTGTGTATAAGAGTGTGTTTGTGTGTGAGTGTACATGTGTGTATGTGAAAGTGTATTGCAGAGAACACACATTTCTTTTCTCTTATGAACAATGTGCTATTGGTATGCATTATTTCCTCATTGCTTTTGTAGGCGTTGGGCCATTTCTTGGGTAAATCACCGGGACGCTTGAAAGAACAGTGGTTGAGGCTTAAGACAATGCGCTCTGGAGCCATGCTCTGTGGATATGAATCCCAGATTTGCCACTTAGTAACCCTATGACCTTGGGTAAGTCACTTAACTTCCCCAAAAGAGTTCAAAGAGATATGAGGGTGCTGATGACATACTTATGTCTAATTAAATAGCTTGTATCTCATTGAAACCCACATTGCTGTGACATCAGTGTCCTAAACTGTGAGATGGGGATAATAATAGAATCCACCCCATAGTTTTGTTGTGAGGAGTAATTGAATTAATTCATGTAAACTGCTTGGCACATGATCATGGCTCTGTTCATTTCTATTGTTGTTTTTCACAGAGCAGTGACTCAAATACTAAAAATCTCTTTTTGCAGATTTATTCTTACATATCGTGAGGTTTGGAAGAAAGAGAGAAAAAGAAATTAATACCACCACAGCTTGTGTTTCAGCAGAGTAATAGTATTCAACAGATGGCATTGGAGAAAGAGAAAAAATGATCAAATCAGGGGTAAATGCTCTCCCAAATGGCAGGACAGATTTCGCCCTGAGTCCCATGAGCAAAGTCACATTACAGTAGACAGCTGGGCTTCTCGGATCAGCGGGGCTGGGCAACAGCAGCTCTGTGGGTGAGGGAGGGCTTGATTGATCTTGAAGATACACTAAGGCTGAGAGGTTTCCTTCCTGGAGATGGGGCTGGCTGGCAGGACCCACTTTGATCTCCTGATTTCTTCTCTTTCCCATAGTACTCTTTCTACCCTGGTACCAGTGTCTTTTGCAAGTTGACTTGTACGAGAAGGATTATCCTTCAGACTAGGTTATATCTTAAGTGGCATTCTGAAAGAGACTGGAATTGGTGCTGAGATAAGGTTTGGGCTTGGAGGAGTAATGCAAGAGGCTCATGCATGTGTATGTGCACATATGTGTGTGTGTGCATGCGTGTGTGTGTGCATGTGTGTGTGCGTGCACATACAGTACACATATGGGGGTCATTGGGTAGATGAAGGGATGAAGTGATATTTATCCAGATAGGGAAGCATCCAGGGAAATGAACCTCCTTTAGCTCCCCAATCCTTATTACATTACTCTTTCCTGTATGTGAAGTTCATGAACATCTACTGAAATTTCTGGAAACACAGGCTTAGATCATGGATTATTATTCCTAATCTTTGCATTGTAAACTTTAAAATGGAGTACAGGTCCCTGCTCAGTGCTTGGGCTGTTTGAAGAATGAGATCAGTTTTTATAATTATTTTACCAGGTGGGACGATCTCTTGCAATCTCTCAGAGCCAAAACGCTCTTGATGACCATACCATGTCTTTCCCCATGGTGGATTATCTGGCGTCACCCCTGTTCTGCTTCTCCAGCTGTCCGCTTCCCTGGAGCCTGGTCTGGCAAGAGGTGCTTGCTAGGAGAGGATCAGAGGTGTGGGATGAGCGTGAGTGACGTTGCATGACTCTGTGTAGGCAGGGAGAACTTTCCAGAGCTAGAGGAAGATGATTTTTGGATGTACTCTTAAATTTTGTTTTCTTTTTTCTTCCTGTTTATGAAAAATAAAATTTAATGGTATAATCTCATTATGTAAAGTTGAGGGCTGGAGTGGGCAGGGTTAATTTTCAGTTTTGACCTTGGAACTTCAAAGGGAAGAAAGAGACGAGGGGGAGAGAGAGAGCGAGAGAGTGAGAGAAAGCGAGAGAGAGAGAAACAGACCATCCTCTTTACACCTCCTAGGCTTAGAACCCTTGGGCACAACCTGAGTGTTCTGCTAGTTTGGCTCTATGGGATGGAGAGTGAAGAATGGAGCTCAGCCCTGACTCCTGTGCCAGTTGAGCCTCCCAGGTGACACTTGGCAGCCATTCTGGGTCATTTGCATTTTCACAGCCAAAGGGCTGCTCACAAGACGTTCTGTGCAGATATTTAAGTTGCTGAATTCCAAAGCATCCTCAGGGCACTCCTGGCCCATCCTCTTCCATATGGCCATGGAGCCAACTTTACATTTCCTAATTTATGAAGGTGGCATTGTTGGGGGTTAGATGCCTTTGGGAGTTATAGTAATAACAACATCAGGGCCAGTTCTTTTCCTTCCTTCCTTCCTTCCTTCCTTCCTTCCTTCCTTCCTCCCTCCCTCCCTCCCTCCCTCCCTCCCTCTCTCTCTTCCTTTCCTTTCTCTCCCTGTTCCTTTCCTTCTTCCATACTTCTTTCTTTTCTTCCCTCTCTCCCTCCTTTACTCCCTCCCTTCTTCCTTTCTTCCTTCTTCCTCCTTCCTTCCCTCTTTCCTCTCTCCCTCTTTCTCTCCTTTCCTCCTTCCCTCTGTTGTTTCTCCTTCTGTCAAGTTTTTGAAATATGTCAATTTCTGGGAGCAAGACAGAGCTCAGTAGCCAGAAATAGCACAGCTCCTGGGCCAGCCTTTGCTGTTCCACTATCAGATGCAGAAGGAGGTGTTCTGGAATGACAAACTTTTCATGTTAAAGTAATGCAATTGTCAGGAACATCCGTAGGTTAGTTTTGTATTGTGGCTATAATAAATCACCACAAATTTAGTGGCTTAAAACAACATCCATTTATTGTCACATAGTTGTGTGGGTCAGAAGCTAGGGTACAGCAGGGCTCAACTGGGTCCTCTGTCTAGAGTCTCCCTGGTGTTGTCAGGGCTGAGTTTCTTCCTGGAAGCTCTGGGAATGACTCTGTTTCCAAGCTCACTCAGGTTGTTGGCTGAGTTCAGTTCCTTGTGGTTGTAGGACTGAGGTCCCCATTTCCTTGGTGGCTGTTGGCTGGAGGCTGGTCATTCTCTGGAAGCTCATGCTTTCCACGTGGCCTCCTCCAGCAATGGGGAGCCAAGTCTGTCTCACGCTTTGACTCTCTCGGGCTTTTCCTTTTCATCTTCATTTCTTTTCCATCTTCAATGAGAAGCTTCATTGCTTTTAGGGGCTCATGGTTAGATTGCCCTAACATGGGTAATCCAGGATCACCTCCCTATTTTCAGGACACTGGTTAACAACCTTAATTCCACCTTCAAAGTCCCTTTTGTGATTAAGGTGACATATTTATAGGTTCCAGGAATTAGGATGTGGGCATTTTTAGGGGGAGTATAATTTGGCTGACCATACTCTATAAATAATGTATTGATTGTGTTGGCCACCTGAAGGTAACTAACTGCTATGACCTTTGTCAGGGGATCTGCCTAGCATTTCCACTAGATTTTGGGCAGGGTCAAAGAGAGAAAGTGAGGAAACCTGAAGCTAGAGGCAGGGGTTGGGCATAAGGCACTTTCATCCTCCAGAGGGAAGCACGAGCCTCTTCTGAAGCTTAGAGCTTCTAATCTGGACTAGGTTTGTGGGGATCAGAATCCATCTCCTCACTCAGGATGGGGCCATGAAAGCCTGGAGAGGTGATGGGACTTGGCCAAGGTCAGTGACCACACCAGAGCTGAAGGCTACTGGGGAAGTTTCAGAGCTGAAGGCAGCCACTGTAAGGCCTGATCAGGGTTTTTCAGAACATGGACACATCTCTCAGATCTTTGGTCTTTTTAGCACTTAACCTCTGTGTTAGTTCATTCTCACACTAACGATAAAGACATATCCAAGCCTGGGTAATTAGGAAACAGATTTAATCGACTCACAATTCCACATGGTTAGGAGGCCTCACAGTCATTAGAAGGCAAATAAGGAGCAAAGTCACGTCTTACATGCGGCAGGCAAGAGAGAGTGTGCAGGAGAACTCCCCTTTATAAAGCCATCAGGTCCCATGAGACTTATTCACTAACATGAGAACCGCACAGGAAAGACCCACCCCCATGATTCAGTTACCTCTCACTGGATCCCTCCCATGACACGTGGAATTTATGGGAGCTACAATTCAAGATGAGATTTGGTTGAGGACACAGCCAAACCATATCAACCTCCAAAGCCAGGTAGATCAACCAGACTGCACAGCCTTGAGAAAATAAATGACTATGGCTTTCTTGGCTTAGGAAATACAAATCAGTTAACATTATGAGTTGGGACACATATGAACATGACGATGTCTTTCTGCAGCCTGAGGAAAGTTGGTCTTGATGGCCAGGAGGACATACTCCTTCTAATACTTACAGTTCTTACAATTTCTTCTTAGGAGTTTCTGGTGTTCTGGTGGCCAGATCTTCTAGTGCCTCCTTGGCATAGCCACGAGCCTCCACATTGATGGGTAGATGTGGAGTGCATGGTATCAACTGTTCTGACACCTCTGGGAGAGGATACTTGGAGAAGAATCCCTCCCTTGTGCTCACTCCTCTCAGAGGAAAGGCAGGTGTCCTACAGGCTAGTGGCTCTATTTTAAATCTGCAGGTAGCAAGCATGTTCCATAGGAGATTGGCTCCTTGTTCAGGGTTTCATTCTCTTGCCAGCTCTGCTCATTCTGGTCTCCTCTTTGTCATAGCCTAGAGGCATCCATCTCCTGGGGGTTTACATAAGACAGAGCAAAGTGCTCTCCAGGCTAAGAATATATCCGCCCCCTTCCCTGGGCGATGTGCCTGGGAGGTGAGGAAATTGACTCACTGCATCTCTGACTCTATGAAAAGACAAATATATGAAAAAAAAACTACTAGATTAATGAGATGGGGAGAAAAACCTGAGTATTTTTAGCACATGAGGGCAGAGTTAGCTGCTATGAAGTCCTAGAGGATGGAAGTTTTAATTTAAAATAAGAGCTCTTTATCTCGAATGTTTTAATTAGCAGTAGGGAGCTTTCAAGTGGCAATTGTGGCACAGAGAGGGCGGGGGACTCTGAAATAGGAAAATGCCCAGTGATAATCTGATCAGCAGCAGTGCAGACTGGTTGGGGGATCTGTCTGTGAAATCCAGGCATGGCTGGTTTTCTTACAAACCAAAAACTTCATGTGATTCCCAGGGTGTGCCTCTGCCAATGCATGTGAAATGCTGGGTCAGTAGTCCTGCACTGCTTCTGCCTGGATAGAAAAAAGCACTGAAACTTGGACTGCAATTGAGCTGTGGACATGTGGTAGCCTATAAGAGCACCTGAATCTTCCATGGGGATCCGAGGCTCCTGCTGCCATTTTTCCCCTGGAAGGAAGCACGTCTGCTCCCTGGAGTTCATCACAATGTCCCCTGATAGGCATGGTGACTACGGATTTGGAGATTTCTGTAGGTGGAGCCGCTGCTGCTGTTGCTTTTAGAAAGATCCCAGTCATTGCCCAAGGTGTTTTCCTGCCTGATAACTAGAGACAGGTCTAGGGAGAACATGGGGAGATGTTCATGAATGGCCAGTATCACACACTGATGGGATGGTATGTGCCAATCAAGGGCTGTAATTTGGGCAATCTGTTTCTAGGGAAAAATATTGCTGATTGCATATCCAATAGCCATTTTTCTTCCCTCTTCCTTACTGATAGAATCAACCTTTTGCTATAGATATTCAAGATTTATTTTCAGGTAATATACATAATAGGGATCACTGGGATCACTGATTTTTGAGCCAGTATTGCTAAAGTGTGAGTCTCAGCTCCATCACTTTAAAACTAAGTGACCTTCGGCAAGTTATTTGACGTCTTAGTGCCTCAGTTTCTTTGTCTGTAAAATGAATGTAATAAAACTACTTCTCTAACTGGTAGCTTTGAAATGTAAACAAGTTAATGCATATACAGTGCTTATGTAGTATCTGGAGCATATAAAGTGCTCAATAAATATTAGCGACTATTCTTTTTTTTTTTTTTTTTTTTTGAGACAGAGTCTTGCCTGCTGCCTAGGCTAGAGGCAGTGGCGTGATCTTGGCTCACTGCAACCTCTGCCTCCTGAGTTCAAGCAATTCTCCTGCCTCAGCCTCCTGAGTAGCTGAGATTATAGGCATGTGCTAATTTTTGTATTTTAGTAGAGACAGGGTTTTGCCATGTTGGCCAGGCTGGTCTCAAACTCCTGACCTCAGGTAATCTGCCTGCCTCGGCCTCCCAAAGTGCTAGGATTACAGACATGAGCCACTGCACCCAGCTTAGTGATTATTCTTATTGCTACTACACCCCAGTCTCTGTTGCAGCTTGGGTATGAACACGTTACACATTACTGGCCAATTGGACCTGAGAGGAAGACGATTGGGAAACTTCTGGGCCATATACAAGAGGACATGGACAGTACTCATTTTGGCTGTTCATGGTCAGGTCTCTATGTGATGCTTGAAACTGCAGAAGCAATTCCAGCCTTGGGATAGTTGACTTTGGATATTTTGTTAATTGAGATAATACATTGTCCTCCTACCATTTACAGTCAAAACTATCCTACCTGATGTACCTAGTAATGGCATAGAGGCCTTGCTAGAGTTACACTGCATTTCAGCCATGTGTGGCAGTAAATGTATTTGATGGCATTGTTAGGATAGTTCTTTGCATTAAAATATTTTTAAATGTTTTGGAAGTGTAATATATTTACATAGTAAAACATCAGAAGAATAAAAAGTCTTACAGTGAAAAATCTCCTTTTCACATTGGACATTCATGTTGCCTTTTTCCAGGCCTGAATAGCCAGTTAACCACTGCTTTTAGTCTTTTACTTACCCTTTGAGAAGTTTGGAAAATAAATATGGCTGGGCATGGGGACTCATGCCTGAAATTTCAGAACCTTGGGAGGCCAAGGTGGGCAGATTGCTTGAGCTCAGGAGTTTGAGACCAGCCTGGGCAATGTGGGGAAAAACTCATTTCTATAAAAAATACAGAAATTAGTTGGATGTGGTGCTGTGCACCTGTAGTCCCAGCCACTGGGGAGGCTGAGCTGGGAGGATCACTTGAGCCTGGGAGGTCAAGGCTGCAGTAAGCTGTGATTGCACCACTGCACTCAGCCTGGGTGACCGCGTGAGACCTTATCTTAAAAAAAAATCTATCTATCTATCTATATTTATAATACATATAACATATATATTTATAATACAAATATTTATTTTCCCTCTTTTGTAATGTAAATGTTAGCATGCTCTACACATCATTCTGTACCTTGCTTTTTTCACTTAACATATCTTAGAGAGCTTTCCATATCAATATGTAAAGTGCTTTCTTAGTTATTTTTACTGTTACAAAATACTCCACTGAATTTATTTAACCAGTCCTTTACTGACAAGTATCCAGGTTCCTTCTAATCTTTCGCTGTTGACTGCAATGCTGCAATCAATAGATGGTATATATGCCGTTTTGTAGGTATGCAAATATATCTGTAGGGTAAATTCCCCCAAAGTGTAGTTGCTGAATCCAAGAGCACATACATTTGTAATTTTGTTAGCTCTTGCTAAGTGCAACCCTCTGTATGGGTTGTATACATTTACGCTGCCACCAGCATGGTATGAGAGTGCCTATGTCTCACAGACTTGGCAACAGAAGATGCTATCAAATTTTGGATTTTTGCCAATTTTACAGTGACATATGACATCTTAGGTAGTTTTAATTTTTATGCTTCTTATTGTGGGTAAAGTACCATTGAAATATATTTAAGAATAATTTGCATATCCTTTGAATTATCTTGTTTACAGTATTTGTCCATTTTTCCAGTGGGTTATTGGTCTTTTTCTTATCTATTTCTAGAACTTTCTATATGTTAGAAAGATTATTTTGTCTACAATTAGTTATAATTGTGTTTCCCACTTTGACTTTATTATTATTATTATTATGGTGAAGTTTACTTTTGTCATGCAAAGGTTTAAATAAATTTTTTATATAGTTGAATTTATCTTTTTTATAGTTTTCAATTTGGGGATAGTTAAAAAGCCTTCCACATTCTGAGATTATGAAAAATTATCCCATCTATTTATTTACTACATTTTTTTATTTTTTTTTAATATTAAAGATTTGGTTCATTTGGAATATATCATGGAACACAGAGTGATAAATGAGTCCGACATTAATATTTCCCAGGTAGCTACCTTGTTGCCCCACCACTATTAAAAAGTTAAGTTTGCCCTACTGTTTTGCCATTTCAATCCTTTTTCTGTACTTTCTTATTCCATTGCTTCATCTATTCATGAACTGCTACTACCTTGTTTTAATTACCAAGCCCTTGTAGAATATTTTTATGTCTGGTAATCCCCTTTCATTGATTTTTTTTTTTTTAATTAGAGCTTCCTTTGAAAATTTTCTTTGCTTATTTTCAATATGAACCTTGGGATTTTTTTTCTACCTTAAAAAAAGAGAACTGTTTATTAGGTTTATTGAAATTATGCTAAATTTAAAAATCAAATTAGGAAGATCAGCATACTCTTGATACAAGAGAGCAAGCAACATTGAGTCATCTTGGCAAAAGATGTGGTATGCTTTCCCATTAGTTTATGTCTTCTGTTGTGTGTCCTGGAATATTTGAAATAGTTTTTTTTAGGTCCATGTCTTACTCATTTATTGTTAAAATTATTCCTAAGAAATAATATCATTTTTTTGTTGTTGTAGTTTTGGCTAATGTAAATGGACTCTTTTTCTCCATTATAGTGTTTTTACTTCTAACTATTGGCTTCTTTATATGTTTTCTACCCCACAACGTTACTGCATTTTCTTATTGTTTTTAGTAGTCTTTTTTAAAAAGTTGATTTCCTTGGGTTTTCTTGGTAAACAATAATCTCATCAGCAAATAGGGATAGTTTTATCTCTGCCTCCCCATTTTTATACCTTAAAGTTCTTCTCTCATGTGCATTTTATTGGCTAGAGTGCCAGTAAAAATTGACAAAAATAATAGGAGGACTGGATAAATCTACAACCATAGTGAGCAATTTTAACACATATTTCTCAGTAACTATTAGAGCAAGCACACAAAATATTAGCAAGTAGCACGATTAGCAAAGTTGATCTAATTGACATGTATAGAACCCAGCACTCACAACTCCAGAGTGTACATTGTTTTTGAGTGCACATAAAACATTTACCAAAATTGATTATATGTTGGGCAATAAATCAAGTCTCAATAAACTTCAAAGGACTGAAATAATATAGAGTATGTTCATTGACCACAATGATATTTAGGTAAAAATCAGTAACAAAGGTAACTAGAAAGTTCCTAATTGTTTGAAGTTTAAACAATGTACTTCTGAAATAGCCCATGGGCCAAGGAAGAAATTAGCAATGGAGATAAAAAGCTTTTTTTACCTGAATGGTAATTAAAATATGACACATTGAAACATGTAATGCAGCTAAAATCATGCATAGGAAGATGTTTATACCATTAAATGTGTATATTTGGAAAGAAGAAAGGCTGATAATAAGTCTCCATTCCTCTTAATAAGTAGGAAAATAATAGCAAATTAAGCCCAAGGAATGCAGAAGGAAGAA